TCTTAAAGAAGTATACTGATGACTTTACTCTTTGGTTATACTTTCCTTTTGGGTGTTTAAGACCATACTGTTGGCCCAAATAAATCATTTTATTTTTACACTTAAGGTCATTTGAGGATCTGTTCCTCAGGGGTCACATGGGCTTGGGAGGAGCTCCTGGCTCCTTCTTTTACCAGTTCCATCTATGTGAAGATAAATCAAAGGTCCTGCTCGACCATGTCTGGCTTCACTTAGAAGCATGAATGAGATGTTTCCTCTGAGTTGACCTGTCTCTTTGTAGACTGGACACTGGTTCAAGTCCATCTCGTGGGGTCTTCATGGCCTCCCTGAACAAGAGGACAGGTGATTCACCACAGTTACAGGACATTTTGAGAGATGTTCTATAGTCTCTTGGAACTTAGTCTTGGAGGGCAAGGGGTAAAAACTGTCCTTTAAGTCCCTCTGACCACATTAGTTTAGGCCTCAAACAATGGCTGTTAAACATCCAGTAAGGTTGGTTCCACCAGGCTGGTACTTTTAATTATCATGTGCTATGTAGATAAGGTTTGGGTAAAAAACCAAATATTCTCAGATATTTCTCAGATTCTTTGACTAGATATTTTGTTCCTTAAACCAGTTGACTAAACTATGACCATAGACGTTTTAAGATTATGTGTTAGGCCTCAAACAATGGCTGTTAAACATCCAGTAAGGTTGGTTCCACCAGGCTGGTACTTTTAATTATCATGTGCTATGTAGATAAGGTTTGGGTAAAAAACCAAATATTCTCAGATATTTCTCAGATTCTTTGACTAGATATTTTGTTCCTTAAACCAGTTGACTAAACTATGACCATAGACGTTTTAAGATTATGTGTCTATTTTTTTTGTCTCATCCTTTATATATCATACAAACCCAAACAGACCTTCGTCACTTGCTTAGGCTTTCTCATTTTTTCTATTTTGGAAAATATCTCTATTCCCATATACTTTTAACATTTTTCACACTCTCATTTTCATTTTTTTAAAATAATTATGAGACATAATAACATTAACAAATTTTCTATCTGTTATGAGACTTCTTTTCCTGGGGATGCTAAGCATTGCTTACTCCCTTTTAAGGTTCTAGTGTCAAGCCAACATTTGATTAAAGGTTTACGGGGGAACCAATGAATTTATTGAGCTTACTTACCAAGATAACTGAGGGATTGCTGAGGTGTGTGTATGACCTGAGTGTATGCACACTGGAAAGCCCTTACTCAGTATGGGTCATGTGTTCTCCTCCTAGCCTTCCCCAGATTGTATAATTTAGCCCTCCCTAAATCCAGGACTACGGTAAGGGTCCAATGACCCTACTTGGCCCTCCTTTAATGAATGAGGACAGCCTCAACAAGCCCAATTCCGATGGTCTTTAGCGATAAGGCTCAGCTGAAGTCATGATGATGGTAGTTATTTCATGCAGAAGAGACTGCTGTATAGCATCATCTTATTAAAAGGACCTGGAATTTAAAAGGATTTGGTGCTAGGAGCCACGTATGAGGGAGAATGTACGTCTTTTTTTTTTTTTTTTTTTGAGTCTGTGTTACTTCACTTAGCAGAACAGTTTCTAGATCCATCCATTTACTTGCAAATTTCATCTTTTAGTAAAATTTCTGTGAGTTGATGACTTTTGCAAGTTGATTTGGGGGGAGATAAAGGTGAGATTAATAAAAAGTGGACTATTTGATTACATATCACAGAAGCCCTATTACAGTGTCCTGAATTAAAAACACCTATTAATTTGATGCCTAGCAGATAGTATTTGGAAGTAGAGAAATGTCAGACTGTGGGTATTCGTTTATTTTCAGGTTGCCAACTTTGCAACAATGGAAGATGAAGAAGAACTTGAAGAGCGTCCTCATAAGGACTGGGATGAAATCATTCCAGAAGAGCAAAGGAAAAAAGTAGAGGAGGAAGAGCGTCAGAAGGAGCTAGAAGAAATTTATATGTTGCCTCGAATTCGTAGTTCCACTAAAAAGGTGATGAAGTGAGACGGAACTACCTCGTGTGCGGGTGGGACTGTGCAGATGCAGGTTGTTCGGGGAAAGGTCTCATTACTACTCTGACGCAGAGGCTTGCAGGGCAGGAGCAAGTGGGAAAATAGAAAGCTCCTTAGCACACCTGCAGGACTTTTTTTTGTTTTTGCAAAGTGACTTTTTGTGAAATGACTGGAGAGCATCTGAATTTGTGGAAGTTTATATTTTGCCATAGATCGGAATTGGTAATCATGACAATTTGATTCTTACTGGTACTGTCTTCAACTCTTTAGAGAGCCAGATCTTTTTTTTTTTTGAAATGTTGATAGCACTGGGTAAAAGATTATGTGACTAACTTGAGGACATTCCCAGGCTGCACAGCTTTAAGCCTTTCAGAAGCTCCATTTGATTTTTTTTTTTTTTTGCAATACCGTTGAAATAGGAAAGCAAGTTTATTGACCATTTTGCTGGAGATAATAGTCCACCATCAGAGTAAATGGCATTAAGTAATAGCTGTCACTTGTTGAACATTTGCTGTATGTCAGGCATAACTCTGAGTGCATTTTCACTTGCTGATTCATTTATTGCTTGTGAAAACCCCGTCTTATGGAGACTATTGTACTTTTATCACCATTTTACAGAGGAGAAAAAAAAAGTTGTTACTTGCTTGAGAAGTAGCTATGAACGTGTTTTATACCAAGAATCATATATATTAGATAGTATAAAAATAACCAATTATTTTTCGCCGGGCATGGTGGCACACACCTTTAATCCCAGCACTTGGGAGGCAGAGACAGGCAAATCTCTGTAAGTACAAGGCCAACCTGGTCTACATAGTGAGTTCCAGGACAGCTGGGGCTACAGGGAGACCCTGTCTCAAAAGAAAAAAACCAATTATTTTTAATTTAGTACACTTATTTTAGAAGGTTTCTGAAAGTATGAAAGTTTTTTTCCCCCTTATTACTTGACATCTACTTCCTTATTTGATTCAGAATGACTGACTTATCTGATATGGTGGGGAGCCTGAGTGCTGACAAATTAAGATGGCCTGAACTTAGTCCTTTCATCTTCTGAACTTGATGCTTGCTAAAGTGTGACCTTGCCTTATTCTGTTCTTTTTCAGGCTCAAACAAATGACAGTGATTCTGACACTGAGTCTAAGAGGCAGGCCCAGAGATCGTCTGCTTCCGAGAGTGAGACAGATGACTCTGATGATGATAAGAAGCCAAAGCGCAGAGGGCGTCCACGCAGTGTGCGAAAAGACCTTGTGGAGGGCTTTACTGATGCTGAGATCCGAAGGTGGGTGGAGATTCTGCTCTCCCTTGGGCTTGTTTGGAAGGGCATGCTTTAAGACCTGGCAGATTGGATTCCTGACCTTTATGACAGGGTAGGCAGAAATTAGTACATATTGAAAAGACTGAGCAGCTGTGTTATGCCCCAAATCTTCAGGATGATTCTTCCTACCCAGTCTTCCTCACATGAGGTTGTCTTTTCATCTGTTTTTAAGGGTGGGGAAGGGTTGAGACAGGGTCTCCTGTAACCCAGCTGGCCTTGAATTCATTGAATAGTGGAGGGACATCTTGAACTTCTGCCTTTCCACCTCTTGAATGTTAGATTATGGGCTCTTTTCCCCTTGTTTTGTTTCTTTCCTGTTATCTGACTCTTTTAGAATATTTTCAAGAAATACGCTAACCAAGGAGAGACATATGTGTACAACACATATATATCTGTACCTATAGAAAATAATATAATTTTAAAACATAATGTTATAAATAAGGCTGCCCTTACTACTTTTCCCTTCCCCTCCAATAGTGTTAATACTGATACCAGTTTGGTGGTAGTGGTTTGGTTCATTTATTTTACTAGTAGCATACATAACATTTTGTTTTCAGCTTACTTTTTAAAAAATTAAATCAACTTTAGACATCTAGCTTCTCTGGATATTTGGAATATAAGAGATGGTAATATTGTTACCATTGTTAATCATTTTTATTTCAATCTGTCTTTGAATCTAACTTGTGTCTCTTGCAGGCAGCATGTATTTGGATTAGTTTTCTAAAGCCTTTTCTGTCAGTCTCTAATTTCTTCATACGGATTTGAGTTATTATTTAATATCCTTTGATACCTGCCTGAAAGACTTCTGTTAGTGTTTTCTTTTGGGGTAGATCTACCAATAACAAATTTCTGTGTTTTTCCATGTCTGGCAGTATCTTGATTTCTTTTGTGTTGAACAAGTCTTCATTTTCCTTTCTCTTTGTTCCTCACATTGGATATCTCAAGTCACCTTCAAGTTTTTGGATTCTTTTTTCTGCTGTCAAGCCTCGAGTGAGTGAGTGAGTGAGTGAGTGAGTGAGTGAGTGAGTGTGTGTGTGTGTGTGTGTCTGTGTCTGTGTCTCTGATCTGTTTTAGTATTTGTACTTTTGAATTCCAGAATTTCTGTTTCGCTTCCTATCTATCTTTTTTTTTTTTTTTTGTCTTTTTGAGACAGGGTCTCCCTGTAGCCCAGCTGGCCTAGAACTCGCTATGTAGACCAGGCTGGCCTTGATCTCACAGAAATCTGTCTGTCTCTCTCTCCTGAGTGCTGAGACCATGAGTGTGCCACCATGCCTGGCCCTTGGTTCTCTTTTAGAAGTTCTAGTTCTGGTCTTTGCCAGTCCTTGGAATCAAACTGAGGTCTTCATGTAAGTGCTTGTCCACTGAACTAACCACCCAGTCAGCCAACATATTTCTATTGATATTCTGTATTTGGTGATACCTTATTCTCATGCTTTTTTTTTTTTTGGTCTTTTTGAGACAACTGGTCTCCTATAGCCCCAGCTGGCCTGGAGCTTATTATGTAGACGAGGCTGGCCTTAAACTCACAGAGATCTGCCTGCCTCTGCCTCCTTGGTGCTGGGATTATAGGCCTGGGCCACTAGGCCCAGCCAAAAATCAGATGTTTTAAGTAATGTAATGTGGCAACTCTAGACACCAGATTTCATGTCCTTTGATGTCTCTGCTTCTTTAGATGAATGATTAGCAAATGACTGGGCAGAGAGTTCAGTTGTTGCAAGCCAGTAAGCCTTCCAACCTTGTGAAGAGCTTGGTATGCATCTTGTTTTAGTGCTCTGGGAGGCCACCTACAACTGTGCCCTGATCTTCGGTTGCTATATGTGCAGATCCTCAAGATCAACTCGAATTAAAAGGCTAGGACTTTCTCAGATCTTTCCTTTGCTTACATGCTTACAGACCTATAAATGCCTCTGTTTTTGACCAATGAGCTGTGGGCAGGGCTGCCCACAAAGAAGTTCTAAGTCATATCAAGCAAGACAGACCTGAGAATGGACCACTTACGGGTGCAACTTCTCTCTAGGGATAGTGCTTTTGAGAAGCATCAGACCTGTCCTTCCTACTCTGGTGGCTGACATACTGGAGGTTGGCACAGCTACTGTAATTGCAAAACTGTTGATTTTTTTTCTTTTTTTTTAGTGTTATTCTTACTGTAGGGAGAAGTTGGAAATAGCAAGTTGCAACAACAGAAAGCTCTCCCTTCTTACTGAGACTCAAGCCATTTTTCTTGAACAAATGCGTCAGATGGCTGTATACATTTGCCTAATTTCTAGGGTTTTGAGAAGAGTTGATTTCTGGAGTTTTTGCCAGTGTTCGTGTTGCTTTTATAGAGGAACTTATTTTTGGATTGCCGTTCAGGATCATAATGTGTTTTGTACAGTTGGATATTGAACCCGTGACTTGGTGCATGCTAGGCAAGAGCTACTACCCACAACTTCCTTATTATTTTTAAGTAAACTCTAAAATCTCTTAATTAAAACATAAAATATTTTACTTTGTATTAAGGAGAAATGTAGAATTAAGGAAGAATCCTCAGGGTTACTTTTCTATTTAACACTTTACTAAGTCTTGTATTCAAATTCTTTCTTTGATGTTGTTTCTTAGCTATTATAATAGTTCTGCTGTCACATCTTATTTCCTTTTTTTCTTAATAGCTTTCCTTACACTCTTACATACCAGTTTGTCATAGTAACTCCACTTATTATAATGATGCTAATGATGTGTTGTGACCTCTTGCTTTTTATTGAAAAAGCATCAGTGACTACTACAAAATGGTGAAGGGAGAGGATGACAGCATAGCTGAAGGTGGAGACTGTAGAAAGACAGACTGGAGTTTTGATTGGAGATAGGTGTGGAGAATGGTGGCAAGAGCCAAGTTTCCTAAATTTACATAAGAAGTTTGAAATTAGATATATTTTTTACTGTGTTTGATATGAAAAAGTATTTGACATAGTTCTAGAAATCTTACAGGTGTGTATCATTAACCATAAACAAGTAAAAGAATAGTTTAGAATTCAAAATGAAGGTTAGTGAAGTGCTTTGTCCTAGTAGAGCTGTGATTAAACTCACTATAACTTTTAAGGAGGGAGGAGAATATTAAGTCACAGTTCTCTATGTTATCATTTGTTATAAGAACACACTTGGTGTTTACTTTGAATGGCTCTTCAGTACTCATTAAGTTGACCACTTTGAAAAGCACTTGATACTCATTTATTTAGTGGTAGTTACTGGGATTTTTGTCAAACTGGTTTTGACAGTTTGTATGGCTCATATTTCATGACGGATATTGTGGCATTAATGTAGCTAATACTTCTGGTTTTTAATTTGTTTTATTGATCATATTCTTAGGTTCATCAAGGCTTATAAGAAGTTTGGTCTTCCTCTTGAAAGGTAAGATCAATAATAGACCCTATCCTGTTTGATTTAGCATTTGGCTGGGGATTGTTTGTTAATATTTTCCATTTAGTGCTAATACATGGAGACATTGATTTACAAAGATTGATATATAGTGTCCATGTCCCATTTTGGAAGTGTGACATACATGGTAGTTAGACTGACCATTCTGCGTGAGGGAGTTGGAGCAAGTGTGCTCAAACTGCACAGTACAGAGTTATCTCTAGAACAGATGTTCAGACAACTCTGTTTCAAAATGCCAGTGTAGCTTGTGCAGTTTTGTTCTTTGATTTAGCAATATAGGATGAAAATGTTCTTTGTGATTTCATGATCTAAGTAACAGGATGTCATGAAGATTGACTCTGAAGAGCCTGTGTCATTTCACCATTAGTAACTTCCAAATGTTAACTGTTGTTACTATCCTATAAGCACTCAAAGTATACATTAAGAAGTCAGGTTTTTACAGAAGTCTCTTGATATTTCAAATAGTTTAGTATCTATACACAGTCAGCAGTACATCCTTTAATATAAGAGTACTGATTTAAATGAAATGTCAGATTTCCTTCTTTTACTCCTGACAAACTTCTAGAGCTGGTGGAAATTCCAAGCCTGGGCTTTGGTTTTGTCTTTTCCATTTGGAGAGGAAATAGTGACCTATAACATCCACCACAGTGTGGCAGTCAGGTACAAAATCCTCATCTTTGAGCCAGGTAGTGTAAAATTCAGAATGTAGAAAAGTCAGTCTGTGGTACTTTTGATAGTCTGATTTTAGCCAGCATATTTATGTGCTGTGTTTGATTTGGAGATGAACAGTATGCTCTGTATGATTTGAGATGCACACTGTAGAAGTCACTGTTCTCCGCTTCTAGGTGCATTGCAGTGAGTAGAAGTAGAGCAGGGGGCAGGAGAAGGAACACTGAAGGACAGACTAGCACATGCAGTCTTCAGGCACCTACTAGGCCTGGTTTGTGAAGAAACTCAGACTCTCTCCTCTCTGATTTTTAGAATTGCTTTATTTTGTGAGGTATTCCAAGACACAATTCTTTTTGATGAGAATTGAATGTGCTAGCTGTAAGGTATTGTAGAATGGTTCTTAAGGCCTTCGACTGACCTGTAAAGGAAGGCAGAGAAAGGTGTCTTTACAAGACCAAGCTTCTATAAATCCTAGTGTTATTTAATGTGACATTCAGAAAAGTGGACATAGTATCTCAATGTTTGTCCTTTTTTAGGCTAGAGTGCATAGCACGGGATGCTGAACTGGTGGATAAGTCTGTGGCAGACCTGAAACGCCTGGGTGAATTGATTCATAATAGCTGCGTGTCAGCAATGCAGGAATATGAGGAACAGCTGAAGGAAAATGCCAGCGAAGGTAAGTCAGCAACTCATTTAGGGACTCTCCAAAATCTGATGCTTATGGACTAGAATTTCTGTTGCTGGATGCTTGTAAAGAGCATGCTTATAGCTTACACATGCCTCCTGCTTGAAGGTAAATATTTCGAATTGCCTTTCTGTGAGCTCAGTGTTCTAAGAGCCCACATATCTACAAATGAGGGGGCTTTGCAGAATGTGTTATGTGATAAATAAGATGACATGGTTTCTTATATGCTGATGTGAAAAGTTTAACCTGGGTTGAATGATGCAGAGACCTGAGTAGCAAAGCAGGGTGGACAGCTGCATGTTGGAGCTGTGAAGGATAGTTACGGACTGCAAACACTTTGACACACACATGCTGTTATGTTGGTGCTGAGTGTAAGACATTTAGGGAATTAGCTGGTGTCAATAAGATGTTGGATGAATAATACAAACATTTTGGTTATGTTGAGGATTTTCATGACACTAGGATTTGTTGTAATCGAGTTGGACATGTAGTCTCTTTCCTCTTAGAAAACAGAAAAGGATTTTGCCTGTCCTTGAAGAGCTAGAAAAGCAAGCAGAGTAGGGGTACTTATGATGAGAGAGCCTGAAGTGGTGGTTATTGTTGACTGGCGCCCTTCAGCAGGATGCAGCTGTCCACATTTCCATACTCTGGGCCTTGTTTATCTGTGTCACTTCTCTCATTCTCTTTTTACTCTTTACTCTGCTAGGTAACAGCATCCTTTGGCAGCTCTCTAAGAGGGTGTTCAGAATCAGGAGTCAGCTAGTTATCTGGAAGCCTGGTTCTGCCTATTTTTAGGCAAGTAACATGCCTTCATAGTAACCAGAAGGTTTGGATGATTAATAATTCCTTACTTGTTACAGTGCTTACTTAGAGACTGACTTGCAGTGTTAGCTCTTACTGTTATGATGTAAACAAGTATTTTCTCTTTGAACCCTTTTCTTTTGCGCATATTTTAGAAATCAACAGAATTTAAAATGTCCCTGCCCTACAGCGACCATTAACTGCTAGTAGCTCCTCAGGGAGGTGTGGGTTCTTACAAATTCCTTTCCTATCTATGATCGAATATTGACAGGCCCCGTCTTGTGCAGGTAACCACAACTACTATGAGTTCATGAGTACAATGGCACATCATGTCAAGAAGACCATGTTTCATGGCATGCCTCCCCTCCCCATTCTCTGGCTCTACATTGTTTTTGTATCCTTTTCTCTGTGTTCCTTGAGCCTTGGAGGTGGTGATATGTCCTGTTTATGGCTGAACACTCAGCAGTCACTCTCAGCAGTTTGACTGTTAGAGTCTCTGTATTAACCATTGCTTACTGTAAGCAGAAGTTTCTCTGACTAAGGCTGAGCAGCACTAATCTGAATAGAAACATAAGTATTTAGAAGGCAGTTTGACATCAAGTCTAGCAAAGCAGCAGTAGTAGAGCCCCACTGAGGCCTGTGATCTTCCTAGCTATTGACTGTTAGGTTTACAGTAAGAGGCATGGATTTCCTCCTGTGGAGTGGGCTTCAGATCCAATCAGAAAGCAGTGTTTACTCCCATACATAATCATGCCACTATTGCACAAGTGGCATTTTGTTGTTGTTTTTCATTTTTAAGCACAAAAGTAGTCCACTATCATTTTGTTCTTTCCCTGTCCTTTCTCCATTTCCATTTTGGAGATTTCTTCCTCACTTATAACAGCTCCATGTCTCACCTTTTCTTATACGCGATCCCATTGTGGATGGGGCTTATTGCTTCCTCTTGACAATGTAGAACTTCTCCTAAACCTATATTTTCTGTAGACTGTCTTTAGCATACTTTAGAGATCAGGCTGACATTTCCATTTCCAATGTAATATTGATTCTCTTCTTAAAAATGTCAACATATTGTTTACTTGTTTTCCTTTACATTTTCTTCCAAATATCAATGCCAATCTTTTTTTTTTTAATTATTAATACCAATCTTATTGCTAGCAATAAGGCTTCCAAATGCAAAGTTTTATTTCTTCACAATTCTTTTTGTCATTAGAATATATTTCACTAACAGTATATAGTCACAATACTGTATTTGGGGGCTGGAGAGATGGCCCAGTAGTTAAGAGCATTTGCTGCTTTTATAGAGGACTCAGGTTTGGTTCCCAGCACTCACATGGAGGCTCACAACCTCCATGCACTAGGCACTCATGTGGTACACATACATACATGTAGGCAAACACTCATACACATAAAAGGTTTTTTTAAATCTATAAAAAAATTTGTATTTGAAGTTCTTTTCTGTGTGTGGTTGTGTCACCAAGTGCTTTCACACTTTCTTGTTTTAATTTCTCTTTAGTTTTTAGGGATCACCTTTCTTATTTTGACCTTCCTGCCTTCCTTGACAGGGTCTTGCTACATAGCCCTGGCTAGTCTGCTACTCTCTGTGTAGCTCAGGCTGAACTTAAACTTGTGACAGGTTTATTATTTTTTTTCCATGAAAACATGTTTGTTTTCACTGGTGTGGCTAACCTATACTGTCTGATCTCTAGGCACTGCCAATAATGCACTTTTGAGTCTTTTTTTTTTTTAATTAAAAAAAGTGTTTAATTGCAAAATATTTCTATTTCCAATATAAAGGGAACTAAAAGGAAAACATGGGAAAATTTTGTTATGTGAAAACACAGGCTTCTACATCCTGTAACCTTTATCCAATCTCTCAGGAGGTAGGCCACACTGCCTTTGCCTTCCATCCTCTCGCTCCATTCCTCCTTCCTTTAATCATGGAGCCAATTGTCTTGTACTTCCTCTATCCATAGGAATTCTCCATTCCAAGGAGGTACTTGGAGCCTGTTTTGCTTCTCTAGAGCATGGGAAAAGGAAGTTGTCTCTTTTTCCTCTCCATTTCTCTCTCTTTTTTTAAAAAAATAATTTGTTGAGAATTTCATACATGCATGTAAGGTGTTTTGATCAAATCCATGACCACTCCCTCCCCTCCAACTCGTCCCATATTGCCCCATCACTTTTTTCTGATAACTTCATGTACACTTTCTTCTTTTATTATTATTTTTTATGGGGCTTTTGGCTACTCTAACATTCCCCCCTCTGAAGAGGTAACCCTAAAATCATTTAAGGATTATATAAGAGCTCCCAAATACTTTTGACATTTTTGGCCTTTGGAACAGAGTATGTTGCTAAGAGGCCCAAGGACATTGTGAATTTTAGCCAAGAAACTGGCTACTTTTCTTTGGGGTCTTTTTACCCTAACTGCCTAGAGAATTCCTACCCCCTATTCTTATCACACCATCCTCTGAAGGGGTTACCCAACTTGTGGATGGGGAATCAGGACACAGACTGCTCTGGCTTCTTCCATGCTGAACAGGGGTGCAAACTGAGGCAATTGGAGTACCCCTTCAGCAGGTCTATCTAAAAGACTCCCAATTGCATAACTCTTACCATCACATGGAGGCAGGATCCGGGAGGCTCTCAGGCAGTCCCCTGTGTTCTCAGCCCCTATGCCAGAGGGAGGCCAGGAACCTGGCACTCTCTGGTGGTCTGCTGAGATCACAGCCACTGCACTGATGGAGGTTGGAGCCCACCCTCTCAGGCTTGTGACCGTTTTCTTGCTTCAGCCTCTGAGTACTTGGATTACAACAATGCTAAGCCTGACTTAACTTACTTATTTACTTACAGTATTAGTTACTTTTCTGTTGCTGTGATAGAAACACTGACCAAAGCAATTTATAGAAGGAATAGTTTATTTGAGCTTATGGTTCCAAAGGGGCAAGAATCCATCATGGTGGGGAGGCATGGTGGCAGAGGTGACTGGAGGAGGAGCAGAAGCAAAGTTCTACATCTTCAAGCAGGCACATGAAGCAAGAGAGCAACTGGAGATCCAGCAAGGCTTAAGAACTCTCTAAGTCTGCCCCCAGTGACATGCTTCCTCTAACATGGCCATACCTTCTAAGACTTTCCAAAACTGTACTACCAACTGGGGACAAAAATGTCCAAATACTTGGAGCCTATGGGGGACATTCTCATTCAAACCATCACACTTATTTATTGTTCTTTTTGAGATAGGGTTTCCCTGTAGCCCCAGCAAACCTGAAATTCATCATGTAGACCAGGCTGGTCTGGATCTCACAGAAATCCGCTTGCATCTGTCTCCCAAGTCCTGGGATTAAAGGCATGAGCCACCATTCCCAGCTTTAATATTTATTTATTTATTTATTTATTTATTTATTTATTTATTTATTTATTTATTCTTTGGTCTTTTTGAGACAGGGTCTCTCTGTAGCCCCAGCTGTCCTGGAACTCACTATGTAGCCCAGGCTGGCCTTGAACTCACAGAGATCCACCTGCCTCTGCCTCCCGAGTGCTGGGATTAAAGGTGTGCACCACTGTGCCTGGCTAACTTTATTTTTTAATAGTATAAGATAGTTACATGAAAATGACTCAAAAGTCAAAACTAGAATAGGGACTAGAGTTGGCTCAGCAGTTAAGAGCACTGGTCGCTCTTGCAGAGGAGACCCTGGTTTGGTTCCCAGCACCCACCCACATGGCAGGTTAACAGCTGTCTATAATTTAAGGTCTAGGAATTTCCTCTTTTGGCCTCCATGGGCACTGCATGACACGGGTACATTTACATACATGCAGGCAAAACACATAAAATAAAAATAAATTTAAAAAACTTCTTAAATAAGAATCATGTAAAGAATCCTGCCTTCATCTACATTTACCATCCGTGTTCACTTCCTCCCCCTTAGGTCACTTTTCCTATTAATGTTGAATTTATTTTATTGTTTATTAAAAAATACAGCTTTTTCCATGCATGTGTACACTGTGCTCTGCAGAGCATGCCTTGCAGAAATGGTCCTTCTCTTTCTCTCTTCTGCAGTTGCTCAGTGCTTCTTTGTGGAGGAATGTTAGGTCATCTTTTGTTTCTTAGTGCTAGGTAGTTGGGTTGTTTGCTCATTACAAATAGTCATAAAGATCAAATGTGGTCTAATATCTGTCCCTGTATGTCTTTAAGATAGATTTCTAGAAGTGGGATGTTGGGTCCTCGGGTGAATGCTTAGGTCCTTTGCTTTGATATTGCCAGATTCTCCTGTGTGGGTCTGGTACCACCAGCACATGTTTTGTAGTACTGATTTACAACCTTACAAATAGAACATACTGAGTGTCTGGATTTCTGCTAGCCTGATATGCCAGAAATAACATCTTATTTTTCTTTTAGTGAATGAGGCTGTACATTTCTTTTACGATGGATATTTGTGTTTTGTCTTCTGTAAACCATTTACTCATATTTTGCTGTTTTTCTACTGAGAACTATCTTTGCCTTTACAAAAAAAAAAAAAAAAAAAAAAAAAGGTGACCTCATGATTGTCTTGTAGTTTTCAGCTTGGACTGGTTGAACCCCGTAGAGTGGATTTACTTACAGATTTTGATTTCCAGTGTAGTGTAGAGTAGCCTTTTCACGCCACCTGAGATGATCAATCCATTATTTCAGATGTGTTAGATATTAACACGACATTACTGAAAATAAGTATGAACCATCTTTAAAGCGCAAGTTTTTCTAAAACTTTGCTGCAGTATTGGTAGGAAAACATTTCAACATTAGTATACATTTAGAATCTTTTTTTGTTAATTTTACTAATTTTAAGACAAAAGTAGTATAAACAGGAAGGTTAAAATAGAAGTACAATTATCAATATATATTTTAAAACTTAAATGTTACAAAACAAATGCTTAAAATTTATTTTATGAACATTATTTTAGAAAAAAATTTTCTCATAATAAATTTTATCTTTGACCTAATATTAAACCATTTATATAAAGAGACACTAAGTTCAGAGTCTATTAATAAACAGATTTTCATTTAAAAGACTATGAAATTTATATTCTTTAGGGAAAGGACCAGGGAAAAGAAGAGGCCCAACAATCAAGATCTCTGGAGTTCAGGTTAATGTAAAGTCCATTATCCAACATGAAGAAGAGTTTGAGATGCTCCATAAATCTATCCCTGTAGACCCTGAGGAAAAAAAGAAGTGAGTGGTTTTTACTGTGCACCTGCATGGGTAGTGGGAAATAGAGATGAGATTAGAACTGTGTAATGTTTTCCTGATCTTTAACACATCTGAAAGATCATTTTTCTGATGTCCTTTGTGTTTAACCCTCTTTAGGTATTGCTTAACCTGTCGGGTCAAAGCTGCACATTTTGATGTCGAGTGGGGAGTGGAGGATGATTCTCGCCTGCTGCTGGGAATTTATGAACATGGCTATGGAAACTGGGAGCTAATTAAAACAGATCCAGAGCTGAAACTAACTGACAAAGTAAGGAACTCTGCTGCACTGGAGATTTCTAGAAGATTGGTTGTGTAATATTTTTATATTGGTGACTTATTTTTTACTATTTTCAAGAGAGGGGATGGAATTAGATATTGATACAGCAGTACATTCCCAGGATTTCTTTGTCCTTGGAAAGTTACTGTCTTCAGTGGACTGTGACACTACTTCATAGGTGATGATAAAAAGAAAGACAATAGCCAGGGGAAATTTGGGGGAAATACAGGAGAAATCTTAAAATTTCTATTATTTCAGGTTAAATCTCATTACAGCAAATACCAGGGTCAGTTTATTAATAGTAAAAGCATGGGTGGACCATACTTGTTGGCCCATTGTTTCAAAGTGTTTTAGTTCTGCACATAGAGAGTTTCACCTTGGTATTTTTTGTAGTGAAATTGAACATTCACTGTCCTCCCACAAAATTGAGCCTCCCACCCTATCTGTTGCAAGTAACAAGGCCGTGGTTAGAGCTATAAACAGGGAAAGCTAAGTGGATTCACTCCATGTTGTGGTTTTAGCAGGGCTCTTTCTGGCATATTAAACACTGCTCATCCCATCTGAGTTTTAGGAGGGTGACAGCACCCTGTCATGTGCACTGAGACTAGATCCAATCTGGTCAAGAGGTCCAGCTGTGGTAGAAAGAACAGATCATGTCCTGGCATAGCTCAGTGCTCTCCGGCAATGCTCTAAGAAGCATTTTCAATCTAAAACGAAGCTTTAACCTAGCTCCAGGGATTCCCTGCTCCTGGAAGGAGGAAATCCACGACGGCTGGGATGCTCTAGCAGATGAAGCCACAAGCCCCTCCTACCTGAGTTGTTCTACCCTGTTAACAGCACAGGTAGGAGCCAGTGGGAGAGCTGGATTTCTCCATCCCATTTTGTAAAATGAGAATGGCTCATGAGGGATTTTTCAGTGACTGGGAGCCATGGACATGAGATAGGATCTGAGGCTTTAATCTGTGTTTTGGGTGGCTGGGAGGGAAAGGACTATGCTAAGTTCTTCGCTGTTCCTGTTTATCCTGATCACTAACCAGGCTGTGGGTTCTGGCGGGTGCTTCTCTTCCTTTCCTGTTGAAGATTCTGCCTGTGGAGACCGATAAAAAGCCTCAGGGGAAGCAGCTGCAGACCCGAGTGGACTACTTGCTGAAGCTGCTCAGGAAAGGTCTGGAGAAGAAAGGCACTGTGACAAGTGGGGAAGAGGTGAGTGTGCTGCCTGTTAGGTGCTCCTCAGCAGGGCAGCTTCAGCCCTGCAGAGCTAGGGAGGAAGAGATGTCCTTTCTGAACACTGCACAGTATCGTGTTTTGTCATGATCAAATACTGCTTTTGAGGTCCATGTGATAGTTTGGATGCTAACAATAAAACGTTCATTTGGTAAGTGAGCTCAGAATCTTGGCAGCTCTCTTTTAATTTATTTTATTTTTTATGTGTATGAATGTTATACCTGCATGTATGTAAGCAAACCTGTGTTGTTCAGTGGAAGAGAATCCCCTGGAACTGGAGTTAGGATGATTGTTAGCCACCATGTGGGTGCTGGGATTTGAACCTGGGTTTTCTGTAAGAGCAGCCAGTGCTCTTAACTGCTGAGCTATCTCTCCAGTTCCTTGAAAACTTTATGACAGATCCATACCACTCTAATATTACATCAAAATAATCCTCATCTCTTCAGTGACACTAGTCCAGACATGCTTTTACTGTTTCCTTTTCTGCTTCCTCAGTTTGGAAACAGTACCAGTTGCTGCATTGGGTATCAGTGAATATGCCTATTACTGTATCATTAACTGGCTGCCTATGATAGTGAATCCCAGGAGTAGTCAGTTGAAATGGACATTTCATTTCAGAAACAACTTCAGTTGGGATTTACCTTATTTGCTTACTGGAAAATACCAAATTGCTAATGAACTTCATTTGAAGTTTTTTTTTTTTTTTTTTTTAAGTCTTTTTGAGACAGGGTCTCCCTGTAGCCCCAGCTGTCCTGGAACTCACTATGTAGACCAGGCTGGGCTTGAACTCACAGAGATCCGCCTGCTTCTGCCTCCCGAATGCTGGGATTAAAGGCGTGCGCCACCACACCCGGCAGGAATATAGACTTTTTAGAAAATATTTTAGGTATTTATTTTTTGTGTTTATATGAGTGTATTGCCTGCATGTATGTTAAGTGCACCTGCGTTGTGCAGTCCCTGCAGAGATCAGAAGAGGGCTTCGGATCCCTTTGAAGTGGAGTTACAGACAGTTGTTAGCTGCCATGTGGGTGCTTGGTATCAAACCCTGGTCCTCTGCAAGAGTAGCCAGTGCTCTTAACTGCTGAGTAATCTCTCCAGCCCCTGGAATATGGGCCTTTTAAAGTGGTTTTAGGATAGGCATATGACTTGTAGGTGATTTTATTTTGTTTTTAGGTAAACTTACTTGCACTCTTCTGTTTCCTAAATTTTCTTGTTTGAATTAAATGGCTGTGACTGCTTTAGAGGGTCAGAATATTATTTGGTCATTCTTTTTGAGGGGCTTGATTGGTGCTTTTATCATAATTTTATTTTCCAGACCAAATTAAAGAAGCGGAAGCCTCGAGTAAAGAAGGAAAACAAAGCACCGAGGCTGAAAGATGAGCATGGACTTGAGCTTTCATCTCCTAGACATTCAGACAACCCATCTGAAGAGGGAGAAGTAAAGGTGTGGGGCTGGATTAAATTTGAGGGTTGTTGTTGTTATGTACAATCATTGGATGTACTTTGTTTATATGTACACTAGATAAAATAACCAGTATGTAAGTGCACCCACGTATGCAATGGACATAGAGGCCAGAAGAGGGCATAGAATTCCCTGGAAGGGGAGTTACAGAGAGTTGTTAGCTGCCATGTGGGTACTGGGAACCAAGTCTAGGCTTCTGCAAGAGCAGTCCAGTACACTTAACAACTGAGACATCTCTCCAGCCCCTTCTTTTATGCTTTTGGAAAAGAAAATCATTCTTCCAGAGCACAAATGCAAAAATATTTATCACAGTACAATTTAAGACTTATTTATGTGTATGTATGTGTGCCTTCATGAGTTTCTGTGTACTACATGCATGTAAGTGCCCAAAAAGGACAGAAAATAACATCATATCCCCAGAAACTGGAGTTACAGCCAGTTGCAAGCTGCCATGTGTTATCTTTGCCTAATCTGTCAGAGGAATGTAGTTGTTCATTTTAAGTGAGCAGATTCCTACATAATGGAACTATGAAAGTTGTAATGATAAATGGCAGTTGATAAATTAATTTCATTTTGGAGAATGAAAACTATTGGTAGAGACTGGTTAACCAGGGAGCTCATGGTTACTGTAAATGAAGCATCTGCCATGTAATGCGATTAATTGTAGGTCCTCTGCTAGCTGAGTTTGGCCTGTGGCTTACCAGTTTGTAACCTGATTTGAGGAAAGTGAAAAGTAACTTGTATTATCCAGTGTATTGTTCCAGTGAGTGACAATTCTGTAGCATTTTATTCTGTTCCTGTGGGTATAATATTTTGAGATTAGCTTCAAGAGGACTCCTAGTGGGTACAGGAACTAACACGGATTTGAGTGTACATACATGAATTCAGATACTAGCAACCTTATCTGTTACTAGCTGACCACGGATGGGTGTATTTTCTCTTGGGTTCTCAGTTGGAAAGGGAGTGGTTCTGGGCATCCAACGCAGAGCCTTATGCACTCTAGGCAACTGCTCTGCTGCTGAGCTACACTCCAGCCAAATGATGCCTTCTTAAAGGGCTACTTTGAGAACTAGATGAGTGGAAGTAGCTGAGAGTGTCTGCCTGTGTAAATCTAACTGGTTATTAATGAATTCAGAATTATGCAAGTGAGTGCTTTAAGACTTTGATTGAAAAAAAAGCTAAATTTTGATGCAGTGATGATACTGTGCTGGTGCTGTTTTCTTTAAAGTAAACCAGGAAATAAAAGTCTGTGGCAAATTTGATAGGTCTCTTTGTTTCCTAGGACGATAGCTTAGAAAAAAGTCCAATGAAAAAAAAGCAGAAGAAGAAAGAGAACAAGGAGAACAAGGAGAAACAAATGAGTTCTCGTAAAGACAAGGAAGGAGACAAAGAGAAGAAGAAGTCAAAGGATAAAAAGGAGAAGGTACTGATCTTACTGACATACAATAGCCTTTGAAATGCTTGTTCAGATTTTAAATAAAATGAAGTACCAGCCCTGGAATATCTGTCTTTATGAATATACCCAAGAAGGAAGGCTGGGGCTATCAGAGTGATAACTACATCCTCCTACAGAAAAGCAGGGGATGCACAAGTTTGGGTTTATTTAATGTAAAAGGATTTTGCTTGATTTGTCATTACATATTTGAGCAAGGGATGCTTGGAATGAGACAGGACAGGTGAGATAATATGACTTACAAGTAACTTGAAATGAGATTAATGTTAAAAGAATACAATCTTTACACAAATCAGGGTGTTTGAAGGAATTAAGAGTCAACCAAATATCATCAACAGTCATTGGAGTAGACTTGAATAAAAGCCTTCATGTTAGGAGTTTCATGAAGTTCATTTCAAACCACAGAATTGATACAGTGTAAATACTTGCTTGCTGACATCTGAAGAAAGACTTTTGCAATTAATCCTTTGCCATTGGTCTAAATAGCAATTACTATAATCTGCCATCTGTTGGTATCTTGACATCTTGATGAGCTTTGGAGCCCTGCCCTTAGGCATAGAAGAACATACAATAAAATCAACTCAGCCATTTGAGTAACCTCTTCTCTGCACTTAATAGTTCACTGTAAACTTCTTTACCATTGGATGAACAAGTGTTAAAGTCATTTTTAATAGATGGGACTGACTCTTATTTGGATGTAGCAGAGCAGAAGCAGTGTAAGTCTCCCATACTGAAATAACTTTCTAGTCTTTAATGTTAGCAGCTATACTGTGAGGGCTGGAGAGACCGCTCAGTTGTTAAAGAGTGCCACTGCTTTTGCAGGGCTCTCACATGGCAGCTTAGAACTGGCTATAACTCCAGTTTCTGGGGATATGATGTTATTTTCTGTCCTCTTTGGGCACTTACATGCATGTAGTGCACATGAACTCATGAAGGCACACATACATACACATAAATAAATAAGTCTTAAATTGTACTGTGATAAATATTTTTGCATTTGTACTCTGGAAGAATGATTTTCTTTTTCAAAAGCGTAAAAGAAGGGGCTGGAGAGATGTCTCAGTTGTTAAGTGTACTGGACTGCTCTTGCAGAAGCCTAGATTTGGTTCCCAGTACCCACATGGCAGCTAACAATTCTCTGTAACTCCCCTTCCAGGGAATTCTATGCCCTCTTCTGGCCTCTATGTCCATTGCATGCATGGGAGCACTTATGTACACATAGCCAAAGTACTCATATACATAAAGTCAAAATTTTTTTCTTAAAATGTAAGATAAACAGTTTACAGCCATCTACTGCTGTATGACACTGTTCCCTTTGATACAAGGTCCCACTACATAGCTCTGGCTGTCCTGGAACCCACTATATAGATCAGCATGTGTTTGAACTCAATAGGGAACCACTTGCCTCTGCTTCCCAAGTCCTGGCCCATCCACTATCCCCAGGAAGGTAAAACTTACCTACACTGCTAAGGGAGCTGCTGCTTTTCGAGTCCCAGGGCATGATGGACTAGATGCTATAGGTGGAGCCTGGGGAAAGAAGAGGAAACCAATGTGTTACTAACCCAGAAGGACCAGTCATCCATAGCCCACTCTTACATCAGCTCCAAGATCAGGGATCAATTCTCAGCACCCACATGGCAGATAACACAATTCTCTGTAACTCCCCTTCCAGGGAATTCTATGCCCTCTTCTGGCCTCTATGTCCATTGCATGCATGGGAGCACTTATGTACACATAGCCAAAGTACTCATATACATAAAGTCAAAATTTTTTTCTTAAAATGTAAGATAAACAGTTTACAGCCATCTACTGCTGTATGACACTGTTCCCTTTGATACAAGGTCCCACTACATAGCTCTGGCTGTCCTGGAACCCACTATATAGATCAGCATGTGTTTGAACTCAATAGGGAACCACTTGCCTCTGCTTCCCAAGTGCTGGGAATAAAGGCATACACCAGCCCAGTAGGTTCACATTTTTTCATGTTTACTTCCAAGTGTTTTTTTTCCCCTAGCTAGTGAGTTTTATATCTCCTGAACACATTAACGTTACATGCTGCTGAAAGTTCCCCCCATTAAGTCTCCTTATCATATTCTTCCCATTTTCTTCTCCTTGTAACTATTACTTTGAAGTTGGTGCAACTGATATGTCTTTTTAAAAATACTTGTGTTGCATGGTTTATCTGTATCATGCAACCATAAAAATGCAGCCTATACATTTTATATATTTAAGAAAAATTTAAAAATTTCCTACGTAAGCCAGGTGTGGTGCACGCCTTTAGTCCCAGCACTCAGGAGGCAGAGGCAGGCAGATCTCTCTGAGTTCAAGGCCAGCCTAGTCTACATAGTGAGTTCCAGGGCAGCTGGAGCTACAGAGAGACCATATCTAAAAAAAAAAAAAAAAAATTCTTATGTAAGATATATGTATATCTGTTTCCTTCTGTGGCCTTCTGTGTTGAGAGCCATGTTGATTCATGAGGAGTTCAGGCATTTACAATAGTTTGGTTAATACAGATTCCTAGATCAAAGGCTTGCTATTAATTGAGGTTGCTGCATATTACTCCAGAAGAGCTCTACCTTGCCATGACACTTTTCTGGCTAAGGGAATAGAAGCCCAAAAATGATATTGCTAAACTTGTGGTTGTAATTTGGTACCTTTAGAAACAGAAATGCACTTGGGAGGCAGAGGCAGGCAGATCTTTGTGAGTTCGAGGCCAGCCTCGTCTACATCGTGAGTTGTAGGACAGCTACAAGGAGACCTTGTCTCAAAAAGACAAAAAAAAAAAAAAAAGAAAAAGAAACAAATGGGAATAATTATAGCTAAGCTATTAATCTTGTAGGTTTGTATAAACGGAGGCCATCCTATTTGCCTGCTCTAGCAATGCACCATAGGTAAGAAGTCCAAGTATAGGGCTGATAGATTGCTTAGTGGTTAAGAACACTTGCTGCCCTTTAAAAAAATTATTATTATTTTTTTTACTTATTTATTTTATATGAGTTTGGCCTGCATGTTAAGTACACCATGTTTGTGCAGTACCCATGGAGGCCAGAAGAGGGCATTGTAATTCCGTGGAACTAGGGTTACTGATAATGGTTAGCTGCCATGTGAGTTCTGGGAATCAAACCCAGATTCACTGCAAGAGCAGCCAGTTCTCTTAACTGCTGGGCCATCTCTCCAGCCCCTAAAACACTTAACTGTTCTTGCAGAAGACCTGGATTCATTCCCAGCACCCATATGGTGTCTCATGACTACCTGTAACTGCAGTTCTAGGTGATCTGATGCCTGCTTCTGGTCTCTGCAGGCTCTTTGCATGTAGTGTACATAAATTCCCTTGGGCACACACACATATACATAAATAATATAAGGAGAATTCCAGACCGTGAATCAAGATTGTACAAATGACAGTGACTTCTCGTAATTCTTTTGAAAGGCTAAAGGTGGTGATGCCAAATCTTCGAGTAAATCAAAGCGATCTCAGGGTCCTGTCCATATTACAGCAGGAAGCGAACCTGTCCCTATTGGGGAGGATGAGGATGATGATCTGGACCAGGAAACCTTCAGCATTGTAAGTCTTGAAATAGAGGATGCTATTGTTGGGCACAGTGCTTGCTGTGTTCTGTCCTTCACAGCAGCAGCCACAGAGCTTCAGCTGGTGTGAGCTTGGTATGTCACTTCAAAGGCATATTGCTTATGATATTTGAAAACTGTATTTTGAACCAATTTGATAGGATGTCCTGCATTCCTGTTGAGGTGGTTTAGAGGAATTCTCAGAGGCATTTGGGAAACAATTGTGCTAAATGAAAAACCAGACTATTCAGAGACTCTAGATCAAAGAAATTTCCCTGTTTTTCTTTAATTATTGTTTATAAATACAGAAAGTACTGTCAGTTTCCAAGCTGAATCGTACATAACTGTTCCTAAACTTACTGACTTAACATTTGAGTGGAGCAGGTAGATTATTGAGCAGATCATGTTGGTGTTCCCATGATCAGGCTGTAGAAGAGAGAGATTGGGTACTGTTGAGATTATCTAAGAGGGGATTTGACCTAGTCAGGAGATGTCAGGAAGTGATGTTTGAAGGAAGAGTAAAAGATAATGGGATAAAAGGGGAGGGGCAGATATGCCAAAGTCAGGTGATAGTATGCACAGAGCCCATGTGGCAGGGGCATGTGTGTTGCATTTGAGGAGGTGACAGGGGCCTCTGTACTTGAGCCACTCCAGCTGATTACGAGGAGAGTTGGTTAAGTGTTAGAGAAGTAGTGAGGTGCTGGACTTTTTCCTCTTTCCTCACCCTAGTGCTAAGAGCTAAGACCTAGACCAGGAAATGCAGTTCTCTTTCCTCATAGGCTGGGAAGGTGATGAGTGGAAAGTGTGTGGACCAGTCTTGCTGGAGATTGGATAAAGCCAATGTGATATTTACCTTGCTGAGACTACATACCTATTGATTGCATTGTGCTGTAATCCTTCTCTCCCCAACTTTCTCTGTTTTTTTCCTTCCAAACTTCAAAATCATAGTTCACTTGAACAGCTCTTTCCTGAAGAAAAAGCTATCATCTTCTTCAAAAAGTGAAAATATTCCTGCCCAGGGGTAACAAAGGATGGAATGTTGACCTATTTTTTTCTTTTAAATTATGTCAGTTTTCTTAATTTTTTTTTTCTGTGAATTCTGTTAGGGCAAGTATGCTTTGTATAAAGTCTGTTTAGGTACTAGAAAGATTAATAAATGAGGGAATTGAATAAATGAATAAATTTATCATTTTCCTTAGTCTTTGTTTATAAATTAATATCTGATGCTTCTCTGGTGCCATTTTACCCTCCTTTTGTGGTACCAGGGTCTGAACCTAGGGTGTTGCTTATACTAGGCAAGCATTTTCCTATTGAGCTATATCCCCAGCCCTTCTATCATATGATATTTAAAAATGCTTTTCTAAACTGACCTGTGCTTGTAGTCTCAGTACTCAGGAGGCTGAGGCAGGAGGATTACTTTGAGCCTAGAAACTCAAGGCTGGTTTGGTCAACATAGTATGATTCTGTCTCAAGACTATATAAAATGCCAGGTGTGGTGGCACACACCTTTAATCCCAGCACTTGGGAGGCAGAGGCAAGTTCAAGGCCAGCCTGGTCTACATAGTGAGTTCCAGGACAGCTGAGGCTACAGGGAGACCCTGTCTCAAAAAGACCAAAAAAAAAAAAAAGAAAAATAAGCTGGGTGTGGTGGTGCACACCTTTGATCCCAGCACTTGGGAGGCAGAGGCAGGCGGATCTCTGAATTCGAGGCCAGTCTGGTCTACACAGCAAGTTCCAGGCCAGCTGGGACTATAGGGAGACCCTGAAGACCAAAAAAAAAGAGAATGTTATATAAAATAACCAAGGCTAATGGCGAAGGCCTGTAAACCTAGCTTCTTAGGAAGGTAAACCATGAAAATCATAAATATAAGGCTGCCTTTGGTCGTTTAGTGAGACCGTCTCAAAACAAAACGTAAACGAAGGTTGGGGATATACCTGAGTGGCAGAGCACTTGCCTGGCATGTGCAGAGCTCTAGGTTTAACCCTAGTGTTGCCAAAAAGAAAAGGAAACAAACACACACAGACACACACACACATACACACACAGAGCCAAGTATGATGGCTCATACTTATAATCCCACCACTGGGGAGGCGAAAGAGGCAGAGGCAGGAAGATCACAATCCCAAGGCCAGCCTGGACTGCATAGTGAGTTCTAGAACAGCCTAAGCTACAGGGTCATTTATCTTTTCTGTAGGAATCCTTTGTATATTACTAATTCTCACAGTCAATTATAAGTGTTTTCCAGTTTGTAGTATCCTTTTGATTCGTTTTTAAAAATTGAGGTTGAACACTGAAAAATGCTTATAAGTATTTAGCTGTGGGAATTACCATGAAGTGTAGTAGGTTCTTTTCATTATTAAAAAATTTCTTGATCATGGTTTTCAGGTTAAGCCTATAATACTGTTTTACATTTGATCTTCATCCTGGCCGTGTGAGGCATTACCATGGCCCTCTTGCAGATGAGGAAACAGAACATTCAGAGAGGCTAAGTCAGGTATAAAAGGTCCTCATATAACTCCCAAGTATGGTGATGGCACTTATACCTCAGACTTTCTGAATGTCTACACTTGCTCCATTCCACTGGTGTTGTCCACTTCTTCTGTAGTGATTATCTAGCATGCGGGTGGGCTGTGTTTTCTTTGATCTTGAACATTTGGACATTGTAAGCAAAAGATTTCTTTCCTGTAATGGCTTGTTATTCTGTTGGCCTCTTCCAGTGTAAGGAAAGGATGAGGCCTGTGAAAAAGGCACTGAAACAGTTGGACAAACCTGACAAGGGACTAAATGTGCAAGAACAGCTGGAACACACCCGGAACTGCCTGCTTAAAATTGGAGACCGAATAGCCGAGTGCCTTAAAGCTTACTCAGACCAGGAGCATATCAAGCTGTGGAGGAGGTAATCAACCTTGGCCTTAAATCTGCCCAGTTTGATTTGACAGTATGTGTGTATTGGGTATTCTGCTGTTTACAATAAGAGCTGATATAGTCACCTAATGAAAATCTTTTTTCCCAACAAAATTCATCTGTTGGCAGCATACTTGTAGGCTTCAACTTATTTTTCCTGACCATAGGCCATTTTGCCAAGGCCAGTATTCTGATACAGCAAGAGGATGCCATTGATGTAACTTACAAGAGGAAGGTGATGATAATGGACTTAATGGCCTGTTTGCAGACTTTTAAACCTGTGAGGCAGAAACTAGGGTAATGCTTTTCCTACCTCAGGTTAATAGTCATACATTATTATATCTACTACAGGAAATTGGTTGGTCCTGTACCAACACAAAAGGAAACAAAGGTTAAAACCACATGAACCCTGTCTTCTCCATTTTTATCTCCTTTAATAATTAAAGAACTATAGTAGTAATTTAGATTGATATAGGACATTATGACTTTATATATGTTCATTCATAAACAGGGTAAAAATCCCTTATGAGTTGCTGGCAACTAGGAATATTTTAGATTTTTTTTTGGCCATTTTGAGACATCCTGTAGCCTCAGTTCTGGAACTTCTGGAACTTCTATGTAGACCAGGCTGGCCTTGATCTCACAGAGATCTGCCTGCCTCTGCCTCCCAAGTGCTAGGACTAAAGGCATGTGTCATCACACCTGGCTGATTTTTGTAATATTTATAAACATATAATGACATGTCTTAGGGATGGGACCCAAACACAAAATTTACTCGTATTTCATGTATATTTAACATAAATTGTTATCTTCTAATTAGGTAAAAAATAAAGTCAGATGGGCTAGATCTTGTATTCATGGATGTTAGGCCTGTTGTGGTTTAGCAACATAACCAAGGTTCTCAAATACCTTCAAATGTCATCCTAGGGCATCAGTCTATGAAGCTAGGCTTCCTACTCTGTACTTGCATCTATTGGTGTTAAATACCCTGGGTACTTAAAGGACTGGAGTTATATTGTTTATATAAATTAGGGCAATTCTAACTATTGACTAAACCCTTGTTTCAAGACCCCTCAGTCAGACTCTTGACAGAAACACATTGTAATGTATTATTGATGCAAAGGCCTGGGCTGATCTCAAACTTACTATGTAGCTGAGGATGACCTTCAACGCCTCACTTTCCTGCCTCCATCTCCCGAATACTGGGATTATAGGTGTGAGCTTATATGCCTGGATTGAGGCAAAGACTTGGGGAATATTTCGTAGCAAAATACAGTGGCTTGCTTTTCACAGAACAAAATTTTTATTTATTTATTCATTTATTATTTATTTATTCATTCATTCATCATTCATTCATCATCCATCCATCCATCCATTCATTCATCCATTCATCATTCATTCATTCATTCATTCTTCTTTTTGAGACAGGGCCTCCCTGTAGCCCTAGCTGGCCTGTAATTCGCTATGTAGACCAGCCTGACTTCCATCTCATAGAGATCCACCTGCCTCTGTTTCCTGAGTGCTGGGATTAAAGGCATGTGCGACTATGCCTGGAATTTTTTTTTACTATATAATTTATCAGTACTATTACTTCTGTTTTAGGAACCTGTGGATTTTTGTTTCCAAGTTTACAGAATTTGATGCTCGAAAACTACATAAGTTATACAAGATGGCTCATAAGAAAAGATCTCAAGAAGAGGAGGTAAAATGAAAATTTAATCCTAATTTATACAAATGTTTAAAAATCAATTTCACAGAAAATTTCCTTAGTGTTTGTCTTTCTCTGGGGAGGTAGTTATAAATTCATGGGATCATTGACGCTAGGTGGGCCACTGGCTCTTTCCCCTTGCTTTACAAGGGTTGTGTATTCTCCGTGGAGGCATAGCCACATAGGGTGACAGAAAGCAGCACAGGTAACCAAGCATGTTACCTGTGGTCCATACTTAAATCTCACACAGTGTGCTTTTTCACTGTATTGACTGCATTAGTTTCTCAGCATACTTCACCAATAACCAGATGGTCTGACTTTTTTATTAGGGAAAATAGCCAATGCATTAGAGCCAGCCAAATGGTGCTTTAAACTCCTGATAAGGATCTGTTAACTCTGTGTTCTCGTGTCCTGGATCAATTTTTTTCTGGCCATTTCTTCTTCCATACATGTGTCTTCTAGTAACTTAGAATGTAGTTTCTCATAGGTCCCAGAATTATAGGCAGAAGATACATTTCTTGTTCTTACGTGGGCTGTATACTTGGTGTCCTTCCATTCCAGCTTTTGTGCATAGAGGGATCCTAGTTGCTCATTTGAAGGAGGAGACATTTGCAGTGCCCATCAGTTGTTGTCCCTTCTTAGGAACAGGCAAATAGGCATAAAGGTGACTTGGCTCCTTCTACAGAGCAGTTCTTGGGCAGGCAAGCACTCCTGTAGATCTACTTCCTTGCATGTAGACTGTATCCAAATCAACCACTGAGGAGCAATCTGTGAACATTTTGTACCTCCTCCACTGATGTGTCAGCCCCGGGAACAAGAGACTCTACGTCTCTCATCTACTGCTGTGTCCTTGGTGCCTGTAGTGGTGCCAGAACCAGAATAGGAACTTATGCTATGTATATTGTTGACCTGGGGAATCATATCGTCAAGTAGTCTATAATTTAATTTTACACTGGACTATGATGTAGTAGTAACAGGAGTTACCCAGTAATACAGCTACATGTTAGTGTAAACTTTCAACAGTGTTTGTATGATGGGTGGGAGAGGGAAGCTTGTCCTATATTGGCAGAGGACAACTTTATGAGAGTCTTTTCTTTCCACCATGTGGGGCTCAGGGATTGAATTCGTGTCATCAGGCTTGGTGGCTAGTGCCTTTACCCACTGAATCATCTCACTGACCCTCTAAATATCATAAAATTATGTGAAAATGTAATTGGGAAAGATCTCAGGAAGAAATAAAATAGTTGGGAAAGGCCCATAGTGAAAGTTAATATAAGGGTCTGAAGTTGGGCACATAATGGTAAAATACTTTGTTGAAAGTTAATAAAAGTTTATTATCAAATAAAATAATATCCAATTAGTGAAACTATGCATTATCACAATCTTTCTGGAAGACAGTTCATCAAAGTTTGTCCAAAGAGTAGAACATGCAATTCTACTTCTAAGAGTTTAAGGAAATAATTAAGGATTTAAACACGCTTATGATGGGAATGACTTGGCAGTCTAACAGTAAGAAATAGGTATGATCGTGATATTTTCTTATGAGGAGTAAGATTCAGTCATTAAATAGAATATAGTAGAAATAAATTTTTTTGAGACTTTCATACATGAGTATTGTCTTTGAGTTATTTCCATCCCTCTTAGTCCCTCATCAATTCCTCCCATAGTCCCCGAGTCCCTCTTAATTTCTTATCCCCCTCTTTATTATTGTCACATGTACATTATATATAAATTATATATAATCCATATGTATATATATATTGCACAGAACAGTTTTCAGATGCCACATTGTAGGTAGCAGTAGTGTCTTAACTGTACTATATATATGCATGTTAGCTAGGCCCAAGGACCTCTTCAATCCTTGTCAAGGGGAATACTAGCCTTTCCTTTTATGCAACATAAAATAAATATTTTATAGGGTAGCATTTGTCATAACGTGTTAAATGAAGAAAGAGAACCTAAAATAATACTTATTTTATATTCTTTGTATACGAAAAGTTTAGATATGGATCAAATTATTTAATGGTCATTTCCTTCATGGTTAGATTTTTAGGTCACTTTACATTTTTTTCTCTTAATTCTTTTGGATCTTTTTGAGACAGGGTCTCATTGTAGCTATAAGTGACCTGGAACTTGGTATGTAGATCAGGCTGGCCTCGACTTTACAGAGATCTGCCTTCCTCTGCCTCCAGAGTGCTGGAATTAGAGGTGTACGCCAGCAAACCTGGCCCTTTAAAAATTTTTTTTTTAATTTGAACATTTTACTTGTGAAAGAGTGATGTGACTGCAACATTTGGATAATTAGCTTAATGACTGGTGTAGAACCGTTCCCACTGGACAGCTGGTGGCTATCTGTTCTAGATAACCTTGGAAAGTTAGCAGTCCTGATTTTATGTGGCCAAGATAGTCCTCTGAGAATGTTACTGCCTGACCACTTGTTCTGGCTTGTACAGGGACACCTGACACGTCTCATGTGTTCTCACAAGTGCTTAGTAGTGGAAGTTGGCTTTCTTGTACTAACTTAGTAGATCAGACTTGGCAAATGGGTCACTATTAGGCTGTTGGTCCTGTGGGAACTCAGTGGAAGTCATGAGCAGTGTTGGTAAGAAATCATTAAATGGTATCTCAAAGGTAGAAAAGGATAAGAGGGAACTGATTAGGAGAGGTAGTCTTTATTCTGCTCTTCAGAATCAAGGCTAGGGGCTTCAGCTCTTCCGGTTTCCTTTTATTCTACTAGGAGCAAAAGAAGAAAGATGATATGGTTGGTGGTAAGAAACTGTTTCGACCAGAGGCTTCAGGCTCAAGCCGGGATTCTCTGATATCTCAGTCCCATACCTCACACAACCTTCATCCTCAGAAGCCTCATTTGCCTGCCTCCCATGGCCCACAGATGCATGGACATCCAAGAGATAACTACAATCACCCCAACAAGAGACACTTTAGTAATGCAGGTAGGCCATTAAGTAGCGCTTTTATTTTTTTTAAACACTTTAGAAATTTTTTATTTATTATTTTTATTTTGTGTATATGAGTGTATTGCCTGCATGTAGGTAAGTGCACCCATGCCTAGCAATGCCCATGGAGGACAGAAGAGGCTGCCGGATCCCCTGGAACTGGAGTTATAGACAGTTGTTAGCTACCATGTGGGTGCTGGGATTTGAACCCAGGTCTTCTGCAAGAGCAGCCAGTGCTCTTAACTGCTGAGTCATCTCTCCAGCCCTAGGTAGCGTTTTTTAAAGAGGTGTCAGAGCCTCAGTCATTTCATTTTCCAAGAACTGTAGTTGGACCTTTGTGCTTTTCCTAAGACCTTATTTTCTTTTCTTGGTGAGATAAAGCAGGAAATGAAGATCCAAAAGACTTAATGACCAGATTTAAATTAAGAGGACCATAGCCACCATAAACAGAAGGTAAATGAAAGAGTTAGGGGAAAATTTGCATTCTGTGTGAAAGCCAAATGTTTAAAATTGCTAATATTGCCGGGTGTGGTGGTGTACACCTTTGATCCCAGCACTCAGGAGGCAGAGGCAGGCAGATCTCTGTGAGTTCAAGGCCAGCCTGGTCTACATAGTGAGTTCCAGGACAGCTGGGGCTACAGGGAGACCTGTCTCAAAAAGACCCCCCCCCAAAAAAATGCTAGTATTAATAGAAGCCTTATAAGTTGATACCAAAAAGATAACCAAATAGAAAAATGAGCACCAGACAGTCAACAGTGAAGAAACAACCTGTGTAATATGAGGATATTTAGAAACCATCTGATAAAGGTCTAGTAGGCAAAACATTAAGGAACTGAACTCAGCCACAAAAAAAAAAAAAAAAAAGAGTAAAAAATGGGTGAAGTGTGTGAAGGGAGTAAGAATGCTGAGGTATCCTAAATTACATTACAAGCCAAAGAATGGAGGGAGGAGACAAAGGAAGATGGTTTTTTACCTCACACCTTCAAGCTAAATTAACATTCCTTCCCTGCCTGCTAAGATTACCCATAGGGCTATATTACATTCTGCTTTTGGAGCCAACCAGCCAGAAGTAGCAAAAAGTTTCTTTATGGACTAATCTTCTATTAAGGACATTGCTTTATGTGTTGTCTTGTCTCTTTTTTCAATGACCCATGTAGGTGTGTTGTAAACAATTTATGCTTCATCTCCCCTGAGTTTCATTACAACAGACCCAGCCTTAGGTCCAGTGGACATTTTTCCAACTTTTACCTAGTCATGCTGCTGGTGGCTTAGGGAATTTGTCCTAGGACTTGTCCTTTCACCTGTAGGTGAGGATCTATACTGCTCAGTAAACGGTTAGTCTGTATACCAATAGGTATAAGTCTATATACCAATAGGTATAAGAAAAACACTCAACATTACTGATCATTAGGGAAATATAAATGAAAACCACAGTGAGGTACCACCTCACACCCGTTAGAATGACTGTTCTCAAAGCTATAAAGGGTGTTGCCAGGGACAGGGAGGAAAAAGGTAACTTTTGCTACTGTTCATCAGAATGCAAATTAGCATAGCCATTATCTAAAGGAGAGCAGATATTCCTAAAAACATAAAAAATAGAGCTGTCATATGACCCAGCAAACCCATTACTGAGTATATATCATCCATATGTTGAAGAGCTGTTTGAACTCCCATGTTTATTGCAGGATGGTGATTCACAAGAGCCAACACATAGAATCAACCTATGTTCATCAGTACTGAGTAAAGAAAATGTACTTGTATACAAAGAAATACTCTTCAGCCATTAGAAAAGGTGAACCTGCCATTTGTGACAGCCTAAATGACACCAGAATTAAGAGACATAAGCCAGGCGCACAAAGGCAAATGCAGTATGATTTCTTCTATATATTTTTCTTTTTCTAAAGAAGTTGAACTTAGATAACAAGATGGGGAATAGTGATTAGCCAGGGACTGGGGAGCTAGAAGTAGAGGTAGAGGAAAGGCTGGTCAAAGGGTACCATAGGAGAAATGTGTTTAAGAGAGAAGCTGTGGGACTGGAGAGATGGCTCAGCAGTTAATAGCACTATCTGCTCTTGCAGTTTTAGTTTCTAGCCACCCATTATGGCAGCTCACACCCATCCATAACTCCAGTTCCAGGGGATCAGATGCCATCCTCTGATATCCAGCACTGCATGACACAGGCATACTTACATGCAGGCAGTACACTCATACACATAAAATTAAAAATACTAATAAAATCTTTACAAAGTGAGAAAGAAGGAGACAGAGGCAGGCAGATCTCTGTGAGTTCAAGGCCAGCCTGGTCTACATAGTGAGTTCTGGGACAGCTGGGGTTACAGGGAGACCCTGTCTCAAAAAAGACCAGTAATTATAACAAGAATGAATGAATGAAT